TGTTTACATGTACACCTCTTAAACAATGTAAGTGTATACATATACCAAAGATACAAAAATATAAACAATCTCAATTAAACAGTTACTAATATAAGAATTACATTATGTACAGTGAATTATATGGTGAAAACTTGGTCCTCAAACCATCAAGTCACATGGTATCTGTGTAATATTGAGCCATGAACACTTGCTCAGGACATTGTCGGACCTGTACATGAAGAGATTTCCTATGTTCATGGAAAGAGTTTTGTTGTGTACAGATACATGTGTGGTGCAGGGATGCTCGGACTATTTGCATATTACATGACATCATAGAATGTTTCCTACTTTCTAAGATGCCTAGCGGTTAGAACAATCGAAAAAAAAATACATTATCAGACAATAAAGGTATAGTTTTTTGATGACGTAACAATTGAATGACGTTATCCCGTCACTGCGCCATTCTAGTGTGCCCCCTCGTAATCGAACCATTTTACATTACGTCACAATGTAAGCGACATCACGATGCATGTCAGTTGTCATCGCCTCGTACGGCCTCCTACAGTAAACTACACCGTTGCATCCAGTTTCTTGGTTTGCTGTTGCTTCACGCAGCTAACATCACTGGTGGAAACATTACGTTTATATTTTACGACGGTTAAAATGTGTCATTTCGACTCACAAGTTTTCAGCGACACGGTAACGTTCGTAATGTTTACATTCCCACAATGCAATTGTGGAATGTCGCTTGACTACTCAACTTCCTCTGGATGTACTGATCTAAACTTACGCTGGTAGTAGAAATGCAACGTTCATATTGCCCCATATGGTTTACGTTAATGATAGATGTAATTAAAATAATTCAGAGAAGATATTTAATCCGAACGTAAACCGTCATCAAGCAAGCGTCCTCGTGCTTTAACTATAATAGTTCAGGGCAAAAGTGTGTTTTATTACACTATACATGGTGGTAGAGCGAAGTGTATTTCTTAAATAACTTACTGAAAAACCTTTCATAGGAGTACATCTGCAGAGGTACAGATAAGCTGTGTATCTGCGTAACTTCCGCAAATATTTATGTGAAAACTCAACTCCTACTAAGTCTATTGCATACAAGTAAGCTTGAATTTTAGTAAATACTTAGTAAATGTGATCTTACATGCGTACACACGAAAAAGTCAAATCTTAGCTTGTGTACCGGTGGATAGATATCATAACTTAAGTATACTGAGAGGTTCTATTTCAGGACATGAACTTGGCAACTTGCAGTCTTTCTTATCATTTCTCATATTACAGATCAAATATAAATAACAAACACTAACATTTAAACTTATTGTAGTTTTACAATTAATGGAAAATGGCAAAATACCCAACTGAGTTTGAGTTAGGTGTGTACAATTTATTTGGTTCCTCAAAGGAAAATTAGGATACCCAACTGAGATGAACACAAGCGAGTACATAACTCAATGACCCGAAAAGTTATCTGTAGCTCTGATCTGTGAGTATCAGAACTAATTTGAAAACATTTTAACAGTATTTTAACATAAGATGGATAAATAACTAAACTCTTTGATTATAATAATGAATACAAACTATACAGAAAATAATGCAAGGGAAACAGCAAATCAACACATTTTATACATACACCTGGAAAACAGCTAAGCCCTGCTTACAATATTTCTATGTGAATTAGGAAGTTTCTGAAATAGATCATGAGATTTAATTTCTCACCAAACACATTTATTTTTTTGTAACTATTTCATAGTAAATGTGACTTTATTACTTTTACAAAAATGTGTTGTAAGCAACTTAATCAAATAATCCCAGGATATATGAAAACTATATCATTCAACCATCTTGTCATTCTCTTCCCACAGAGGTAACTACTGTCATATCTTCCTACGTAACCTCTGTTCTAATACGGCCCTTTCGTGGTGTGAGCGTTCAAGGCTCGTGATTGGAGACAATCAGATTTAGTTGTGCAATCAGCGACGTTGTTTCAAAAGTGATCATTCACAAGGCCTCGGTTATTTCCGTATGCTTCGAGAAAACTGAACGTCTTCCCCTGCGCGATGCGCAAATGTTTCTTCTAGACAGAACTCAGTCATGTTATGGCGGATCAGTGGCGTCTCCATCGCCCTCGTTGACAACGGACAAGCTAGCCATTAAACGTCTTGTGTGTAACATCAACACAAGTCCCCGGCAGATTGGGGATATTTGTGGCCCCACATTTGCTTGTGTTAGTCAAGTTGAATCTAAGTCGATATAAGACGTGTTTTGATTGGATAGAAAGAAGGGAGATAATTCGTGTTGCGATCTTTTGCCGCTAGGGGATTTTATGAGAACCGGGAAATATGTCCGTATTAGAACAGAGGTTACGTAGGAAGATATGACAGGAGTAACTTCTGTGGGAAGAGAATGCCATCTTGTGGAACATACAGTCTTCTTTATTGAACAAACTTCATGGATAACAACTTCTTTTATTTCATTGTTATCCATAAAGTTAGTTCAATATTGTACTTCCCAACTTCTAAAATGCCACTCAAAGAAGTTACAAAGAAGTATTCTTGTTGAATGTAGGAATTGGTCTAGGTGTCTAAAGTAAGTCCCCGGGCAGTAAATTGGGAATTTTCTTTATTTTGTTAACAAAATGGGGTTTCAAAATTATTCTTTTCTTCAATTCAATTGTGTATTCTAACATTGTACTTTGAGACTGTACTCAAGGCAATAATACAAAACTAAGAAGTGAGGCATCTCCCTCCAACTGGTCCTGTGATCAGTGAATGCAATGATTGTCTTTACAATGGGGAACAATGCCACACAATCAGATATTAATGAAACATCTTAACACACATTTGGAATTTTTACATTCCAAACTAAGAATATTTGCCATTTGTTGTACACTACAAAATATTGGCTTCTGAGCATGTCTAGTTTAGGGCTGGGACGGGTACTCGAATCCGGGTCGGGTACAGCTGGAATCGAGTACCCGGAATAGGAGAGAATTCTGTAATGGCAAGGGTAGATAATAACTTGGCTTTTTCTTTATTGACGTAAGACACATTTGCATCATTAGTGTTGTCCGATTAATGGAGGTGATTATTAACGACTATAATATATCTGCGCATGAGCAGTGAGTAGTCAAGTTACAGTAACAGCAGGAGCGAAAAGTTCAATCTGTGTTTTAAGGAGGAACGTAAGTAATGGTGTTACTCTCTATATTGTTTAAACAGACGCAAATTACATAGCCTAAGTTCAGTTTCAGTGTCTTATTGCTATCGTTTCAAGTTTTCTTTTAAAATGTCTGTCAACTCATGATTGAATATTCAGAAAGTTGACAGAAGCGCTTTATTCCTTACATTTCCGGGTACTCGATTCCGTTTCGGGTAAGTACATGCGGGTACTCGATTCCATTTTTTCCTACCCGTCCCAGCCCTCGTCTAGTTAAATCCCTACAACCTGTCAGCCAGCACCTATGGTATCGTAGATACTTCTAAAACATGGATCAATGTGGATATTTCCAAAACCTATGGAGAAGCTGAAGAATATGAACAGAAAGAAGGTATGATGCGTAACTTATTTCCAGGTGTATTTTTCTATACAATATGCATATTACGTTGAATATATAATTGATTATATATAAACTAATGGGAAAATATTGGTCCAAACACCACAGTGATCTAAACACTAACTGGTAATGTATTGTGGAAATAGCAATTTGATTTTCATGTTCACAAACTGCATCGACCTGACAAGATTAAGGTGTTAAGGAATCTGTCATACACATAAACTAACATTTTTAAAATATACAAGGATGCTTAAATAGTTTCTTTTATACATTGTGAATACAAATGTATCTGACATGACATCCAAAATAAAATATAGATTGAAAAATTGTTTCTTGTGGCCATCCATACATCTGCCTAGCTTGACCAGCAAGCTTCAGTACATGCATTCTGTGGAATATTTCATAAAATGTTGTTTAAAGGAAAGGAAATGTTTGATACAGTTAACATCTTCTGAAATCCATTTTGTGAAGTCTTTTAATATTTTCAGCAATAAAAAATAACATCATAAAAGGGGAACTAACTGTTAAAATCTCTTACAAAATAACATCCCCGCATGTTTCAAGAATTTTATCTTGAAACTTTAATAAGGCTAGACCAATTTTATTTCTTGTTTTATGGATTTTTGTCCTCAGAAAACCTAAAGGCAGGAGGGGGAAAAAAGAGAAAAATCACCAGTCAAAGCAAAAACTCACATGAGTTTTTCAAAGGCATTGTTTTTCAAGTTCACACTTGCTGAGGTGCTCAAAGCACTGATTTCTAAGGCACATATTTTTAGATAATCTGTGTAAAGTCTCTGAGAAGAGATACCGGTGTTTTAACATTGAACAAACTGCCTGTTCATAGTCAACGTCTCGCTCCTGTATATCTTAACATTAGGATTTTATTTTTCGAGCAGGGACAATTTATTTTTATTTTTTTCTTATTCTTGAAAAAATATGACTGGCGGAATTGTAAAAAAAGAAATAAGATTGGTCTGGCCTAAAGACAAATTGAAACATTCCTTTAAAAATATGATGTTGAAACATCATTTTCACCACCCTTAAACCACAAAATACACAAAACATCCCTCAGTGAACCTAGTGACAACATTGTCAAGCCTTGATAAATATTATCAAAGTATTGCCTGCATGAAACTTGGATATGATACATATCAACATACGGGTCAGGAAATAACAATTCCTGTTTGTTCAAGTGACCAATGATTCATTTGTACAAATTGTAAAACATAACTGTGCATCTCTACGCATTTAACACATCTTTGTTAAAGCATGATCCCATACGTTTCAGGGCTCGATTCAGTGCTTTGTTACTTGCACTGGTGCAACCCAATGTTACAAAATGCAACCTAGTTATTAGTCTTACTTGCACCAGGTGCAAGTTAATTTTTGAGAAATAAATCAACAATAAGTCTTAACATTATATGAGCAGTAAACAACTGTCAGCTCATTTTTCTTCTAAACTTTGAATAAGTCAATAGCATATTTCTTTCTTTACGTATTACATAAGAGCAGTGCAACTGGAATTTGGCAGCCTAAAGAAGGGTTGGCTTGCATTCAAAGATGGACTAAAACCAAACAGGGTAGTTCCACAGAGATAGAGGAACATCATGCTTGGCTCCACAGATATTGGTAGGCACACTGTTGTCTAGCAACAAGGTGCAGTTTGTTCCCAAGAGGTGTAGCCTAGCGGTTAAAGCATCCACTCCTGACGCCAAAGACCTGGGTTTGATTCCCCACATGGGTGCAATGTGTGAAGCTCTTTTCTGGTGTACCCCGCTGTGATATTGCTGGAATATTGCTAAAAGCAGCGTAAAACCCAACTCCCTCACCCATTACAGAGAGATGTGTATTGTGAACTATCCACTTCTTCACAAGTACTTCTCCAAGACTGCAATAGCTTTGCTAGATGATGGCTGGTACTCCTGCAGAAGGTGGATCAGCTCCTCTCACGGTTGTTCCGTTCTGTTTCATCAGTGTCAGGATGTGAAACATCGGCCCGTCGTACATCTTACCTTTCCGGTGGTACCTACAAACACAGAGACACATCAACACTCCATTCAAGAGAAGCATGATTTATCAACACATTGAAAACAAATCGTTTAAAAACATAACATTCCACAGAGGTACAGATAAGCTGCGTATCTGCGTAAATTACGCACATAGTTATGTGAAAACTCAATTCTTATCAAGTCTGTTGCGTACAAGTACACTTGATTTTTTGTAAATTCTCAATATATTTGATCTTCCATGCGTACACACAAAAATGTCAAATCTTAGCTTGTGTTGGGCATAGATAAAATAACTAAGGTATATTGAGAGGTTCTATTTCAACACATGAACCAGCCAACTTGCAGTCTTTTTTTATTGTTTCTCATATTACAGATCCAGTATAAATAACATTTAAACTATATTATATTTTTACAAGTAATGGAAAATGACAAAATACCCATTTGAGTTTGAGTGTGGTGGGTACAATTTATTTGGTTACTCAAACGAAAATTAAGATACCTAATTAAGATGAGCACAAGCGAGTACATAACTCAATGACCGAAAAAAGTTATCTGTAGCTCTGATTCCACCTCTTGGGAGTACTAAGGTTGGTTGGGCTTATTATCAGCCTAGGGCCCTTGTCCCTTTACAAAAGGAAAATTCTGGAAAATTACAGACTGTGATGTGAAACAACAAAGACAATCTTACTCCAGGAAGGAGACAAAGTCCCTGTCATAGCCCAGCAGCGGTGATGTCACGATGACGTGCCAAGACGCATGTCCATCCTGCTCCTCTCTGTCAAGCAGACGACATAGAGTGTGGACATCTTCTGGCGTCTGCATCAGTCTGGCATAGCCTTCCATCTTGTCCCTGGTGCACAGGGGTTCTGGAACACAGGTCAAGGACATTGCTAGGTAATTCTAGCTCATATCGTCCTGCCCTGGACACAGTTACCCTGCAACAACTCTTATTTGCAGCCCCTCATCACGCCCAAGACCCGGGTGGGATCACCCACATGGGTACAATGTGTGAACCCAATTCTGGTGTTCCCCACCATGATATTGCTGTAATATTGCTAAAAGCGGTGTAAAACTAAACTCATTCACTCACTCACTCACTTACACTGTTCACTATGGTACTGATTCCTTTCCAATAAAGCCTGGTAACATGTTGCAGAGATCACCATGACAACACAGTGATATTTTCTGATTTGCTTCAGTATTGCATCTCAATTGCATGGATACATGCTCAATATGTCAATCACTGGAGTTTCTGATTCGATAATTCACAGGTCATCATGTAGCTGCAACATTGCAGAGTGTTGTTTTACAGTGGTCACCAGTGGTCTGTTGCAGTGGTTACCATTACAACACTTGGCCTGCAATAGCATCTGGTCATTAGTCAGACATACTGATAAGTAGGAATAGTCTGCAATATGTGGTTACCATGACTACACTTACCCTGCAATTGCTCCAGATCCTCTGTTGCTGTGGTAACCAGGATGAAGGAGGTGTCTGGAACAGCTTGTTGACCGGTTTCCACACTTCCTGTATATGTTAAAAAAAATCCTTATCTATTTATCTGCAATTTCCACAAGAAAATACACATATATTTCACAAGATGGTATCATACAAGTAACTAGCATCATGAAGAGACAGGAGCATCAACAGAAATACACCTGGTTGTCGTGAGGACATACCTGGCTGAGTGAAAGATAGTCTGTCTTCAGCCTCATCATCTGGTGGTACAGGATGCTGTCCAGCGGAGCTATGGAGGGCAACCGGAATGTTTCCTGGTGGAAATAATCCTGAAACAGGTAACAGTCACGTCTCATCATTCATAAGGAGATAAAAAACACATTTTTTAAAATTTGAGGTAACCTAGCTACACGTATGTAATGACATCAGCAATCACAATATCCATTGATGAGTGAGCTGTTGATAGGATGATGTATCCCAGTGTATGAAATAAGCAAAAAACCCAGCCAGACATCTGGACTGGTAACTTCAAAAGCTTACCAGCCCAGAAGAGATATAACCAGTCCTTCTTAAATACTAAATAGACAGTGCCAATTAATGGACACGTTATCTGAATATTTTTTTTCACCCGTACATCGGGCTGGCTAGCTGTAAAATTAGACCGTCCGGCAAAAATCTAGCCCTTCTCGGGCGGTGGGACGGGCCTTATTTCATACACTGGTATCCATAAGTAGATTTTTGTGGAAAAGAGCAGGTTAATTTTAGGTACACAGTGGAACATGCTTACAGTGCAACAGAGCGAGTGAGTGAGTGAGTGAGAGGTTTTACGCTGCTTTTAGTAATATTTCAGCAATATCATGGCAGGGGACACGAGAAATGGACTTCACACATTGTACCCATGTGGGGAATTGAACCCGGGTCTTCGCAGTGACGAGTGAACGTTTTAAGCACTATGATAGTCTTCTACTCCCTTAGCTGTGAAGCATCTATGTTGGCATATTTCACATTACCTGCATACAGTGAGCACATGTGCTTCTTGACCACCAGCTTGAAGTGGCCTCTCTCCGTCACTCCATCTGTCAGTCGGACGATCCAGTTGTAGGACCCCTGGTGGGACTGGTCCACACTGACCAGGTCCACTTGGCTGGGACCATTAGGCTTGCTGGAATACACGGCAGGAGCTCCTGTTTTGGAGTCCTGCTTGAGCAGGACAAGATACTGGATACTACATCCTGAACTGTGGGCCTCGACTGACACTGTACTGCCTGAAGGTCAAGGTCAGAGTGTCACATCACTTCCATGTCAACAGGGGAGATAAAATTGGGTTTAACATCACATTCAAGTATGTGTGTGGATCAGTCTATGTGTGTGAACGTGCATTAATCGCTCTGGATCAGTGGCCCTTTAACATCACATTCAAGTAGGTGTGTGGACCAGTCTATGTGTGTGGATCAGTCTATGTGTGTGAACGTGCATTCGTTTTTTTCCTAGTCCCGACTAAAGGCATTTTGATGATTATAATTAGGAGATTCAATGTGTGCTTTCCGACATATTGCGTATTTCGATTTATCGAAAAGAAGGATGATTTGACTGAAAGATATGGCAACCTGAAGGGCAGTTAGAGTTACATAATTAATTTGTATAAATTTTGAATTTGGAAATTTGTCAGAAGTTGCAGGGGGGTGCCAGTTCTTTTGTGCTAGCCCACAAATAAGGCTAAGGGAAGACATTAGTTTTTCTGGACTAAAGCTTAAATCTATTTATAAATGGTCATCTGACATGGACAAAGTCTATAGACAATAGACAAGGAGAAGTGACAGCTTGTTTAGGACAGGTGACAGTCCATTAGAAGATTAAGCTACTCTTTTTTCAATTTTGTGGTCCTTTATTGTTGATTTAAGACTGCTAAATGTAATTTAAGAACCGAACATGTTAGCTGAGAAGCGTATTAAAACTGGACTCTTTAGCATGCAAGAACACAAGGCATGAAGGGGCCTTTTTCCTGGAAGTCGCTTGGAATCATCCAGTTGAGGGACAGCTTGTGTAAGGAACAGAATAAGACATTTTCAACAACATAAATGCTTTATTTCAGGAACCAGTATGCATTTATTTGTAACAAGTAGCATACATAGATAAAAAAAATACAGTTCATACTGTGAGCAAGTACAATTATTTGATTTTTCTCAAGTGAATTATTAATCTCCCCTACTTTATGACAAACAACTCGCCTTAATTCAAGCCGTGAACTTGCTAAGTTTAGTCGCCCCTAACTTTATTCACGGAAGTAATTGTTGATAACCACCCTACTGTTCCCAATGTGGAAAAGACCTGACATGCCACGTTTCATGTTGGAAACATGGACAGTGGAAGTGGAAGGACTGGGCATTACGGCCGGGACAGAAGCTGACAGGTTAGGACGTGTGTCGTGCCCGCTAGATCTAGACCCGGGTTTGAAGCATGGCGGAACACTGCCACTTTGCGCTGCTGCTGAACTTTCCTGCTCTGAAGTTTCTTCAATGCGATTAGACTCAAGAATTCTTCTTCAAACCATTCACATCTGTTGTTGAGGTAGAAAACTGATCCGACATGTGTTTCTTATAAAGATGTTGTTCGTCGCACGAAGAGGTTAGAAAATCATGGGTACAATGTGTGAAGCCTGATGTCCCCTGCCATTGATGTTGCTGGAATATGTGTAAAACCCAAACTCAGTCAGTCAGTCAGTCTTATAATGCATGTGAACATGTATTCATGGGTTTTGTTAGTCCAGGCTAAAGCCAGTACCATGCTGCAGATTAGTTTGGCTATGGGGAAGACCTTAGTTTCTCTGATATCTACCAAAGGTCATCTAACATGGACTATCTATAAACAACAGTCATACAATGGGCACTAACAACTGGAATAAAGCATCAGGGGAATTAAGTCTTCATTCAAAGTTGTTCCAATTCAGTCGCTTTACAACTGAACACTTTAACCACTAGTCTACCCAAACACCTGGGACCTACCTTTCTTTGCAAACCACCTGTGTAGCTTGTAACATCTCTGAGTGGCATTAACCAGGATTATACTGACATTCCTCACAGCTGGTGGAGCTACTGAAAATGTCATGTTGAAACCAGCTCCGATTATTGTACAAAACAAACAATAGTAAACAACTCATAACATGTTTATAATTTATAAGTCTATAAACAATTTGGTATCACACGTCGTCAACATGGTGCTTGAATTATCCTATGTTATAAAGCATCATACAAAAACAAATGCAGATGTAGGGAGTGTGTATGGACTAGTAGGGGTGGGTATTGCAGAGAATTTTCATATTGCGATATATTGCAATGCAAAAGCAAATATTGCGATATGTATTGCAATATATTGCAAGAAGGGTTTATTTTTTGTAACAATAAACTCTTTATAATCGAGTTAATGCTTGATTTATAAAGCAAAAAACACAACAAAATCACTATTCTTGATTAAGCTTTAATAAAAACTTTTGATCATGACAAAATAAAAATGTAAATAATATTTGGCATATTTAACATCAACACAGTGGTTACTAGTTTGAACTAGTTTCTCCACTCTCAAAAAAAGCCCTGAGATTTTAGACAGCAACTTGACCTGGTCAGGACATATCAGGGATCATTGGTCATTAATGAGTAAATATTTACAACATTCAGATCCAAAACATTGCGAAACACTTGAACAAAAATTAAGAACACAAACAGAACCGAACTGAACAATCCAGTTAAATGTAAAATCTTTGAAGGGCCTTTAGTTAAATGTAATTTTCACCACGATCATTCCCACCACCATTACCACAGCTGCCACGATCATCAAGATTTCCGAGTGTTACGAAGTTTTCCGAATGCATGTCAAAATACCAGTTTTCGATCAGCGTAATGCAATACGTATCGTTTTCATGTCTGAACCGGTAAACCAGTTATATTTGCGCAGCCCTATGGACTAGGTACATAAATTATCATTGATGTTGAATGTTTCACTTTATAGACAACCATCTTTTTCACGTTCTCTCATCAACTAATGATGGATTTAAGCAAGATCTCATGGTCCTTACAAAATGGAACTTCTGGATTTGTAGACTAACGCTTAGTCTCTGAATATATAATTTTGATTGTAACAAACAAACCCATTTAAATTGAAAAGGAACCCCAGGGAGAAACCACAGAACCTGGGGATATCTAGACTTCATTAAGGGCTTCAGCATTGCAGGGAGGGCTGGACTGAAGGGAAAATACTATGGTTCAGGGACTGTGAGGCAGACTGCTGGATTTGCATCAAATTAATTTTCTATGGTGCACTGGGTATGTTTTTCTTGAAGATTAATAAAATATTTTATCTCTTCTGAATTTAGATTTTAACACATCAACCCTTAAGGTAATAGAATGTCAACAGTATCATCAGAAGCACTCATTTCCATATTATCCAATTCATGCTTTTTACACTGACAAAACTGCCCACCTATGCTCATTTTTTTTTCAAAGCTTGAGAAACTCTTGTTTATTTTTTTACACCCTATGCCCAAGACACAGAAATAATGATTCTTACTTCATAAAAAAGTATCACATATTTTGAATACTACTATCCACACAACAAACCTTGTTCTTCAACATCAGTATCTGCAGCAGCTGATGATTTCTTTCTGACACAGATGAAAACAACAACAAGAAGGACGACAACAGCCAAGACCACTATCACTGAAAATAAACATCGTTGATAAACAATCATTGAATACAAAGAAACACCTATATCATGCAGATACAACGAATCATTTCTGTTCTTCAGAAATATGTGTTTTGTTTGTTGTTTACACTGCACTCAGCAATATTCCATCTCCAGTCGAGCACCGTTGTGTCGAACTCTGATAACTCGATATCTCCGTTGTCTCGATATAACATCTCGGTCCCGGCAAAATCCTTCATAATTTATCTTTATTCAAGCTCTTTTAACTCGATACAGTTGTCTCGATATTTCAGATATCTCATGGTCCCAACAAGCAAAATTACCCTTTTAACTCGATATTTGCAAAGAAACTCAATATTCACCTACCTATCATGGGCAAGTATTCCTCTGAACTGAGGTTGTTTCCACACATTTACACATGGTGCGACATGAATCAAAGGGATTCGGTAGTGTAAACAAATTAGGGCTAATTGAGTTGAAGGTGTCACTTGTTTGTTATCTAATTAGGATTAATTAAGAAGGAATTAATTAGGAAGTACTAAACACGACTGATAACGGATTATAGTTTCGAATCAAAACATACTGAGAAGCGTTTTGTTTTCTTTCATAGTGATATGTGACAATATGCCCTGGTCGGATGTCTCGAAGTTCGGATAACTCGATATTTTTTCTTGGTCCCATGAATATCGAGACAACGGTGCTCGACTGTATATGGCGGCGGTCTGTAAATAATCTAGTCTGGACCAGACAATAAAGTGATCAACAGCATTAGCATCGATCTACGCAATTGGGATACGGTGACATGTGTGAACCAAGCCAGTAACCATGACCACCCAACCTGTTAGGCGCCTCTTACAACAAACATGGCTTACTGACTGAGGCTAATTCTAACCTGGATCTTCACGGGAATGGTGGTGGTGGAATTGGGTTTAGCGTCGTGCTTGAGAATATTTCGCTCATATGACGACGTGCATGCGTGTGTATGTGTATGTGCGGCTGCTTGTACTAGCCCAGACTGAAGCTGGTTTTATAGTGCTAGCCCACTGAGATACCATGCCGCAGTGAAGCATGAATACCCCACTCAGACACATTATACTGACTCCGAGCTGACCAGTCCTTGTTGTACCCATTAATGCCGAGCGTCAGGCAGGGACCAACAAGTACCATATTTTAATGTCTTTTGGTATGACGCGGTCGGGGATCGAACCCGCGACCTTCCGCACTCCGGGCGGACGCTCTAACCACTACACCACGGAGGCAGTCTCACGGGAATGGAAATATGTCAGTACTGAACTGAGTAGGGTCTACAGGCAAGTGTCTCAATTTTCTAGTCCTATATATCACCAGCACTATTCCAAACACACATGCATCTAGAACTGCATTCTCTTCCCACAGAGGTTACTTGTCATATCTTCCTACTGAACCTCTGTTCTAATACGCCATATTTCCCGGTTCTCGTAAAATCCCTAGCGGCAAAAGATCGCAGCACCGAATTATCTCCCTTCTTTCTATCCAATCAGAACACGTGTTACATTCAACTTGACTAACACAAGCAAATGTGGGGCCACAAATATCCCCATCTGCCGGGGCTTGTGTTGATATTACACACAAGGCGTTTAATGGCTAGCTTGTCCGTTGTCAATAAGAGGCGATGGAGGCGCCACTGATCCGCCATAACATGACTGAGTTCTGTCTAGAAGAAACGTTTGCGCAGGGGAAGAAGTTTAGTTTTCTCGAAGCATCACGGAAATTACCGAGGCCTTGGCGAATGATCACTTTTGAAACAAGCGTAAGCTGATTGCACAACTAAATCTGATTGCCTCCAATCACGAAGTCTTGAACGCTCACACCATGAAATGGCATTATTAGAACAGAGGTTACGTAGGAAGATATGACAGGAGTAACCTCTGTGGGAAGAGAATGCTAGAACTGTATAAAAAAAGGAAAACACAGATAAGCCTAAAACTGGCACTAAACTTTGACTAACAGAACACTTCTGTTAACTTACCTATAAGAACAATGGCTACTGTATCCAGAGCAGCGTCATCACCTTCACCTGAAACACACAGTGTTGTCCATGTGATGTTTTCTTTTCAAGCTTGGTGATGGAGTTAAAGGTGAGGTGAAATTGGGTTTAACGTCGTGCTTGAGAATATTTCGCTCATATGACGATGTGCATGCGTGTGTATGTGTATGTGCGGCTGCTTGTACTAGCCCAGACTGAAGCTGGTTTTATAGTGCTAGCCCACTGAGATACCACGCCGCAGTGAAGCATGAATACCCCACTCAGACACAGTATACTGACTCCGAGCCGACCAGTCCTTGTTGTACCCATTAATGCCGAGCGCCAGGCAGGGACCAACAAGTACCATATTTTAACATCTTTTGGTATGACGCAGTCGGGGATGGAGTTACAGCAAGTTATGATGTTTCAGACATAAGTGAAAGCTGACTCAGGTGGAAAGTACTGACATTTCCCCAAAACCTCAAAAAGTTTAAATACCACTGTCAATACAAAAACTTTGTTTCCCAACTTTGACCATAATCAAGATTACAATCAAAGTACAACAATATTTCATAATAACCTAGAAGGCGACCTTGACCTTTGATAGGCATGAGAACAACAATAAGAGGACAGAGTCAATTATATCCTCTGCAACTGAATACATTTATCATGAAAAATTATTTGAAAGTTGCTGCCATGCAAAGAGGAAACTGATTTCGTTTACAAAATCTCAAACTATCAAAAGGCAATAGTTCACCACAGCACCTATTTGTGAGCCCAGTTTGCAGAGGACATATTGTTAGAATTTCATGATCTGCTCCAGAAATGCGACATTTCAGTCATAGTCAGAGTTGTTGCCATGGAGACTCAAACTGATTCCTTTTAAAATCCCAAACTATAAAAAAGCACAAGCTCACCACTAGCTATTTTACAAGTTTGGTGAAGAAATATTGTCCGTTTTTCAGAATCTGCCCTGGAAACAAAACAACCACTATTTCAAGCTTAAGCCAAAGTTGTTGCCATGGAGATTCAAAACTTTATTTTTACCAGAAACCCAAACCAGCAAAAGGTACCATTATACCACTAGACTATCCATGGGCCAAGTTTGGTGAAGAAATATCATAATGGTTTTCAAGTTCTGCACTGAAAAAGACATCTTGAACGGACGGATGGATGAACAAATAGGGGTGGCAGTAGTGAAAACTTCTTTTGCCCCAAACCATATAACTTTATCCCTGCGATCTTAGGATAAATGTATGAATACTTTTTGCAACAAAGTAACCAAGGCCATGTGTTGAGTTATAAAAAAGAAATTCTCCAGGTCAAAAGGTTCAAGAAATAAAATATCTAGAGTATCAATGTTAAACTTTAGACAGGTCACCAATACCAACAAGAAATTCACTAGACTGGCAATGTAACCCAGGGCTTAGTCTCATGGATAGTGTGTAAACTGATGGTCCCAGTGAGGTCTCACCTATACAATGTGTAAACTGGTGGTCCCAGTGAGGTCTCACCTATACAATGTGTAAACTGATGGTCCCAGTGAGGTCTCACCTATGCAATGTGTAAACTGGTGGTCCCAGTGAGGTCTCACCTATACAATGTGTAAACTGATGGTCCCAGTGAGGTCTCACTTATACAGTGTGTAAACTGGTGGTCCCAGTGAGGTCTCACCTATACAATGTGTAAACTGATGGTCCCAGTGTGGTCTCACCTATACAGTGTGTAAACTGATGGTCCCAGTGTGGTCTCACCTATACAATGTGTAAACTGATGGTCCCAGTGAGGCTGTGGGTGGTCGATGCAGGTGATGTTGGTTGACTGGGATGGTATATAACCCACAGAGCACTCGAGGAAGCAGGTGCTATAGATGGTGTTGTCATTGCTGCAGACGGCTTTTCCATTACGAGGGATCCACTTCTCACAGGCTATTACATAACACCACTTGTTAACACATATTGAAATGTATATAGTTTTGATTACCATTACCCAAACAAAAGAAAATATTGAATTAATTGCACTCTTTTTAGAGTTAAACCTGCTTTGGAGTTTTGGGTTGCCTAAAAATCACTGAATTTTGAAGATTTTACAAAATATTTTCAACAAGTTTCAAACATAGTTTTCAGCAATATATTCACAGCAACAATAAATCAGGTTGCTGATTTTTCAGTTTTTCTTATTTCTTGTTGGTGAAATTAATAATCCACTGCTGATAATTCAATTTTTAATTTATAAAATATTTTATTCCACAACAAAATCAGTGAATTCTTAAGAAAGTCTTAAGAGCCAGCGTTAAACATCGTGCCCGTAGTAACACTGTTTATTCCCTAAACATATACACACGTCGTGTGTATACTGCTGACGTCTGTGTATATTCGTCACATATTACATATACATCTTGTTCACATACTCTCCATATACAACCCCAGGGACACACAAGCTGCTATCAAAGGTATAACCAAGTGGTCCAACTCATGGACTTGGTTGATATGTCAACATACCCCACAGGGTATAACTCATAGTATCAACCACTGGTTTGTCTTGTCCAGGCTTGATTCCATCAGACCTCTCACAGAGCTGGTACGCTGCTGAGACTGACATTAAATGTATTCAAAATACAAACAAAACTCAAACAAACAAAAACAGGCCCCAATTTCTCGAAAGGAACTTAAGAATTAGTTTGGCCTTAAGTTAGTGTTTTTACTCAAATTTGAGAAAATGCATTTCCCAGAATGAACTGAAATTGATATTAAACTCAAACATAGTAGACACTTTGAGTTTGATGGATAGATTACTTAAGCTGTTTGGGCTTTTTTATTTAAAAAATGCAGTTGAGTTAAAAATTCAGCATATTTGTCAAACTCAGTTTGAAATTTGAGTAAAAAAATCACTACTCACCATGAGTTGCCTCCCTTGCTGTTTTGGCGGGAAGACGGCGCCACCCGTCTTGCCATGCTTCACTCTCTCCGAATTTCAAGCCCGACACTTAGATTTACTGGGATAAGTCCTGTGTATCCTGTGGCCCAAGGACTGTTGATAGTGCTGGGATGTGGAATTGTCTGTCCGGTTGACCTGCAGTTGATTCTTTGCTACAAAGTCCCATCTCAGTCCCATATGCACTATGTTTCGGTTTTCATCAAAACGAGTCCTTTCAAAGTCTAGAGCATGTATTTCCGACATCCTTGCTGCTGTTGCTAGGCCAATCAGGAATAGAGTTTTCTGTGTTAAGAACTCAAAGGATGTCCTCTCTAACGGTTCATAAGCGTCACTGGTGAGATGGCGTAGAACTACGTTGAGGTCCCAAGCCGGAGCTTTAAATCTCTGTTGTTGGTCCTCCAGTTTAAAAGAGCGTAATAAGGCCAGTAACTCTGGTACCTTAGTCAGTTTTACACTCGTCCTCATAGTGATAACTGAGCTCAATGCCGCTAGGTATGTTGAGAGTGTTAACCCTTTTAACCGCTTCGTTTGTCTTAAGTGACAGAGATAGTCCGCCACTTGAGGGTGTGTTGCTTTTATGGCTGTGAAGCCTGTTTTCCGAGCGTAGGTCTCAAAGCTTCGCCACTTGTCGTCATACAAGTTGGCGTGTTGACTTGCGTAGGGCTAGAGTGACCGCTTTAGCTGCTCTGGTGGAATATCCTCTCTTATTCAAGCATGCCTTGATACGCTCCACGAGTGTAGGTGGAACACCTCGGGGTTGCCGTGTGCTTGCTTTGTGTGAGGATGTACTTGCAACTTCTTCCACTCTGGTAGTTGCAGTTGAGGTGGTCCTAGTTCTTGTATGAGAATAGGGAACCATACTCTCGCTGGCCAGTAAGGCGCGATCAAAATCAGTTGCAGGTTCTTCGTCTGTCTGATTTTCTGCAACACTTGCGGTATGAGAACTGGTGGTGGGAACACATAAGCGTTGAGTCCTTCCCAGGAGATGCTTAGAGCATCTGTTGCCCACGCTTGTGGATCTGGTATTGGAGAGACGAATGTTACCAGTTGATTGTTGAATCTTGTGGCAAACAAGTCTATTAGTGGCGCTCCTATCTCCTGTATGATCTGTTTGAAGATCTCTGGATGTAACATCCATTCTGTTGGGGATGGCTGAGATGGACGAGATAGTGCGTCTGCTATCACATTCTTGGCCCCTGGAATGTGACATGCGTTGATGTGGATGTTCAGGTTGTCTGTTATGCTGAACAGTTGAAAGCACAGGTTCAAGAGGTTTGCCGACCTTGTTGATCCTTGTTTGTTTATCTAGAACGCCACTGTGGAGTTGTCCGTGTGTACCGTTAGATGAGCATTCTTCAAAATGCTGGTCCAGTGGAGTATGGCGTTTATCACTGCTTTCATCTCTAGCATGTTGATGTGCAGATCTTTCTCTTGTAATGTCCATTTCCCAGCTGACACTTCGTTGTCGAGGTGTGCTCCCCATCCTTGGAGAGATGCGTCCACATAGAGATGTGTCTTGCACTCCGGCTCTGCTAAGTAGGTGCCTCCGCAAACATTCGATCTCTGAGTCCACCATAGTAGATATGGTTTTAGTCTGTCCGGGATTTCGAAGGGGTCCGGATCGTCTAGAAGTGTAATAACAAAGACCTGTAGTGGGCGTAGTTGTAATCTCCCTCTGCGCGTCATGTCCTGAGCTGACGTGAGGAGACCCAATAGGCTTTGCCACTGTTGGAGTGGCCACGGAGAGAGTAGAGCTTGTGATACCATCTGTTGTATCTTTAGCCACCGGTCGTCTGGTACTGCTATGCGGTTTTCTGTTGTGATGAGCCGAACTCCTAGGAACTGCCGGTCCTGTGTAGGCTCTAGTTCCGACTTGAGGAGATTCACTAGCCATCCTAGATGTGTGAGAAGCCTGATGGTGAAGTCTAGTTGCAGTCTGAGATGACTGGGATCTTGATGAGCCTGAATCCCATCGTCTAGGTAGAACGCACTGCGTAGACCTCGATGATATAGGTATGTGACTATGGGCTTCGTCACTCTTGTAAACAACCAGGGGCTGATGATATTCCAAATGGCAGGACTTTCCATTGGTAGTGTCGTCCGTCTAGTAGGAATCTGAGGTACTTCCTTGATTCCGGATGCATAAGAATGTGCAGGTATGCGTCCTGTAAATCTATGCTGGCCATGTGGTCCAAAGGACGGACGAGATGTAGTAGTTGTGGTAGATGAATCATGCTGACATAGTTTACAGCCAGAGCTCGAAGTACATATTGTTGTGCAACTGGGGCACAATAGATGAGGGTCTGCAGCAGATAAACGAAACCTACAACGAAAACAGGTTTTCATGAAATGTAAACAAACTGAACAATCACGTATAAATCGTGAATAAACAGTCAAATTACGAACAAATTTCCAACCATATTGTAGAAGGATACTCCTAAAACCTTCTAAATGTAACTTTAGAAGGAAATAACTAAGTTATCAAAGGATATAGTGCCATGCTGGAGACACAGGTGCTTTCCCAACCGTCCACTAGGGCGAAGAAGGAGAGAGTGAAGCGTGGCAAGACGGGTGGCGCCGTTTTCCTGCCAAAACAGCAAGGGAGGCAACTCATGGTGAGTAGTGATTTTACGTCTGCTTTTTTGAAGGGAGCTTCAAACAGGAAATACAAGTGTTCCACTAAGGTTCGCAAGAGGAGGGAGACAAGCAATAATACATGAGTCAGGATAACGAAAATTTTTAAGTTTGTTTCGAGAAATCAGGGCCTGTTTACACATGCTCAGTTTGTTGTTACGCAATGTTTATATACTGGGTTAATATGTTGCGTACATACATGGTTTGTCGAAGGACGTGCTGTGGCAGTGAGCCCGTCTTCCGTCAGGAAGAGCAGGGATCTGCCGACATTGTTCTTGAAGGTGTTCTTCATACAGCCTGTGATTGTCAAAAACCTCACGGGGGCAAATACGACACAACTCGCAATAACCGGGGTGGTTCGGCAACTTGTAGTAGCTAAAAATAGAAATAATAATAAACATCATTATCATCTTCAGCAGCAGCAGCATCACCGTCATCTGTTTTTGTAACATTGCTTGCATCCATCCAAGTTAAATGTTTTTTGTACACCTTGAATGTTTTAATATACATCATCATGCACACAAGGGTTTATCTCATTAAGCTTTCGGCTACTTGAGAAAACAAATTATGTTTCCACAACTTTTAACAAAAACTATATTGAAATCGTAGCTATTGACCGAAGTATGTTTTCACAATTAGGGGCATGTATGGAATATTTCATCCTCATCAGTTTTATTGGAGAAGATGTTTACAGAGGTGAGAATGCCTTTTGAGAGTTCTAAGTGCCATTGGCGGATCAAGAGGGGGAGTACACGAGTTTCGGAACAAACACACGCACACACCATTAACTTCTATGCAGACTTAAGTCATTTTCAAAAAGGTGTGCGTGCATGCGTGCGGTTCGCAGGAGGTTCGGAACACATGCAAGCACGCACCCACGCACACACCCATACCTTTTTGATAATGACCAAAGTCTGCATAGAAGTTAATGGTTTGCATTGGCGAAGAATAATATAGATTTTGTCAAGTTCTGCTCCGGACATTAAACAGACAGACTGTGTGTCACAACCTTCAATCAGCCAAGTAACGGCGACTGACAACCGAAGTTAAAAAGTCAACTCTTACAACCAGCATTTGGGACCAGTTCTAACCCAGAATCACCACTGATCAACCACATATTGTCAGCCATTAAGTGTTAACATCTGTTTACAACTCCTTGGTCAGGTAGGTAGTGATTCAGATTTTATGACTTGCTGCTAGGAAAATGTAGAGAAGGGGAGTATGAATTATCAAACATTCAATATTCATACCTATGTTACTATACTGTGATTCCAAGGGATCTGATTGGCTAAACAAGCATTTCGTTTTCATTTATATTTTCATAAAGCAGCAGATGAATACTTACAACTTCTTGTCTGAGCAGTGCGCCTGAACAATCTGAAATATACCACAGGCCAATAACAATAAGTTGTGGTTGGCTGAATAAAACAAACAATGGTCTTAGGCAATGGCAGTTCAGGTCAGTTTCGTTTAAAATACACAGGTCTATCACCTTCATAATATACAGGTCCATTTAAACAACATAATATGTTATTCTATCATGATTTAAGGTTGTATTGTCTTTGAAGATTTAGACATAATTGTGCAGTCACCTGTTTTGAATATAATACATGGTTACGATATTGAAAAACTTGAAATTGTAGTCTCCGAGTTTAAGAATATATTGCTATTTCTTACAAATTTGATATCAGGAAATAACATAACGGGTATCCGGGTAGGGTAGGGTAATAGGGGGTGGGGTACCTTAGGTTGAAAATTTGGACTCATCCAAGCCCTAATATGCAGGTTCATTACTTTCATGATATGCAGGTCCATCTCTTTTCAAACTTTATGCTATTTCCCGATATCAAATTTGTAAGAAATGGCAATAGGTCTATTTTGTTTGTAATATACAGGTCCATTGCTATATATCATAATACATACTATGATTACTATGAATTTCTCCTTCCAGTTTTACCTTGCCGAAGTTAAGCAACAGCAGTATAATGGCGCCAGTCACATGTGGCAGCAGCCCCCCACATAGCTTCATACCAGTGTCCGGGGACCGTACAGAGCCTCATCTAACCTGTAACATACCACAGACATATACCTAGCTTCATACCAGTGTCTGGCCACTGTACAGAACCTCATCCAACCTGTAACATACCACAGACATATACCTGGCTTCATACCAGTGTCTGGCCACTGTACAGAACCTCATCCAACCTGTAACATACCACAGACATATACCTGGCTTCATACCAGTGTCTGGCCACTGTACAGAACCTCATCCAACCTGTAACATACCACAGACATATACCTAGCTTCATACCAGTGTCTGGCCACTGTACAGAACCTCATCGAACCTGTAACATACCACAGACATATACCTAGCTTCATACCAGTGTCTGGCCACTGTACAGAACCTCATCCAACCTGTAACATACCACAGACATATACCTAGCTTCATACCAGTGTCTGGCCACTGTACAGAACCTCATCCAATCTGTAACATACCACGGACATATGTGCCTCGATGATTCTGAACCTTTATCAGATTTCAAAGCCTCACTGAACATAATAATGTCTGTCTCTGAACTTCACTGTTTCAGAACCTAGATTGAAACTAGTGCCTATAGTCTGTTTGGCTCAAAATCGGACCGATGAATTGCAACCTAACTTGAAAACTATTAAACACATAATACTCAATGAAACGCTGATCATAGAGAGGAAGGAGAGGAACAGCCAGGTGTGCGAGAAAGGATGGAGACGGCACAGCACAGGTTAATGAATCAATAACTTTGTCAGCAGTTGTGCACGTGCTTCACGTACACCTGGCTGTTCCTCTCTTTGCACCCATCCCTCGTAACAAATAGTGAACTTTGTCAAAATTTTAATGATAGTTTGTTAAACAACTTTTTTATTTTTAGGACATAAATTCTGCAAAAAAGTCACAGAGTTGGTCTGCTGTTTTGATCATGATCAGCGTTTCATTGAGTATTATATGTTTAGTAGTTTTCGAGTTAGATTGCAATTAATCGGTCCGATTTTGAGTCAAACGGACTATAGTGAAGGGTCTGAAAGTAGTATTTTGAGTCAAACGGACTATAGTGAAGGGTCTGAAAGTAGTATTTTGAGTCAAACGGACTATAGTGAAGGGTCTGAAAGTAGTATTTTGAGTCAAACAGACTACAGTGAAGGGTCTGAAAGTAGTATTTTGAGTCAAACGGACTATAGTGAAGGGTCTGAAAGTAGTATTTTGAGTCAAACGGACTACAGTGAAGGGTCTGAAAGTAGTATTTTGAGTCAAACAGACTACAGTGAAGGGTCTGAAAGTAGTATTTTGAGTCAAACAGACTACAGTGAAGGGTCTGAAAGTAGTATTTTGAGTCAAACGGACTATAGTGAAGGGTCTGAAAGTAGTATTTTGAGTCAAACGGACTATAGTGAAGGGTCTGAAAGTAGTATTTTGAGTCAAACGGACTACAGTGAAGGGTCTGAAAGTAGTATTTTGAGTCAAACAGACTACAGTGAAGGGTCTGAAAGTAGTATTTTGAGTCAAACAGACTACAGTGAAGGGTCTGAAAGTAGTATGAAATGACTTCATGAAATAACACCATTCACCAAGCCTCCTTGAATCTGAGGTTGTTTCTTACATAAGTCATTTTTTTGTTTAATCATTGATATTTGATAAATGTTTTGTAAATAGATAAATCGCTCAGAATTGATGGAGTAGGGTCCATGCATGAAGCACAAATACCGTAAGTCCCCATGGTCCTTAGTATGGTGATCTACCTTCAGTTGTTTGCGATCCATAGCCACTTATATACTGAACCACAAAAGAAACGTCGCTTTTCAAAACCCAATGCAAAATTGATTTTGCAAGGTGGTGTTTTTATTATGATTGTACCGTTCTGTTAACATGTGTTTCAATCCAAATTGACAGTCATTACCAACATCAGTGTGTTTTCTGATGAAAAAGCATATCGACCAAACGCACCAAAAAAGGCAGACATGGTAAAAGGTTCCGTATGACATTCGTGAAAATGAAAATGCATGTGCATGTCATGACAACCCTACCAATTAAAGCGAGTCCCAAACTCGCCTGGAATCATTTTTGTTTTGACACAATCACCATGCCACGACTTACGAGAGATCAGAGCAACTAGGTCTTGGGACGATTGCAAGTTGTCCAGACTGCATGAAGGGTAGCCAATCATGTTAATGTTCATGTTAGGACAATCTACCGACTGCAGGAGTGGTATCAGGCCACTAACAGCATCCAAGAACGTTCACGCAGTGGGCGACATTCAGTAACATCGCATCGTCAAGACCGACAGATTGTGCACCACCATCTGCATGATCACTTCCTGAAAGCGACGGAAACAGCATGCCAGACCATTGGGACTCACAACAGACCCATCAGTGCCGATACAGTGCGTCGACACTTGCGCAGAAGAACCTCTGCTGTCACAGACCCTATCGTAGTCCTGTCCTCACCGCTCATCATCGCCAAAACCGTATGCAATGGGCAACTCAGCATCGAAATTGGCGTTATCGACAATTGAGAACTGTGCTTTTTTCTCATGAAAGCCGATACTGTGATTCTACAGTCGATAGCAGAGTGAGAGCATGGCAAGGGCTTGGTGAACTGTTTTCCAATGAGTGTACTGTTGAAAGTGACTCTTGGGGTGGTCCAAGCATCATAGTGGGGGTGCAATCGGTGTGAACCAGTTAGTTGACACCATGGTGTTCCAGAATCTGGGTCCAGGATGAGGAAATAACATGACAGCTGCACACTATACTGAATCAGTCATAAGACCCCACGTTGTACCACATTTTGGATGGTACAGAAAACATGTCTTCCAGCAAGACAACAGTCATGCCCACACTGCCAGGGCAACATTGGACTTCCTAAGACAACATGGCATCCAAACCCTACAAGAGCCTGCACTCAATCCGGATTTAAGTCCAAAAGTACACCTTTGGGACGAGATTTAAAGAAGACTGAATGGCCTCCAACCAAAGCCGACAACTGTCACTGGACTTGACCAGGCATTTTGCAGAGGATGGACCCAAGTGCATATGGCCCATCATCTGGCTAATTCATTCTATGTACAGACGATGCAGCACTTTCATGGATGCTCATGGAGGCCACACGATACTGATTTTGGGGTACCTTAATGATACCATTTTTGGTGATTTTGTTTGTGTGAACTCTAAATGTGATTCCCGAAAATGTGCTAACCTTAATTGTTAAGTTTGAACTCAGTCCTCCGTTGTGATTGTTAATTAGAGTGAATTAAAGTGTGTACTTGAAGAAACCGCTATTGGTGCAACATTTCTTTTGTGGTTCAGTATATATTGTCTTGTATGTACGTATTTATTTTTATGCTAGTCTTAGATCTATATCTGTGATATTCTTTATGGTTTTTTTGTCGTTTTTCCACAGGTTTTTATACTGAATTTATGTGTCATGAATGTATAACATGGTTTGGTCACAGTACGGCTGAAATTCTGCTGATGTAACTAAAGATTCTAACTCACTCACTCATGAATCTGAAATAACCAAACATAGAAACAGAAAGAAACCGAACCTAAAATCTGAAAAGATTAAACACAAATTTGTAGTTTTAATTTTGTTGTTTTTATATGAAATTGTGGTTCATCATTACAAAATGACATGTGGATATACCGCTATGACTCCATGACTGAGTGAGTGAGTTTAGTTTGAAGCCGCTTTTAGAAATATTCCAGCAATATCACGACGGGTGACACCAGAAATGGGCTTTACACATTGTACTCATGGGGGAATCAAACCTGGGACTTCGGTGTGACGAGCGAACGCTTTAACCACTAGGCTACCCCTATGGCATAATGAATTGTCCATCAGAGACAAGTTTCACTATAATGCAATTCTTTCCATATGGTCAACCCTCATAGGTGATCTGACTTGTCCTCCACTTGATGTTTGTGATTGTGACGGCAATCATGTTCACGTTCCACCAATACTTATTCGAAGTATCAAACCACCATATTGATGCATGAACCATAAATATTGCAATGGACTAATGGGCTGTGTATTGGCACATATATTGTATTGCGATATATTGCGATCCTGGTACCCATATTCCAATACGTATTGCGATATATTGCGATCCTGGTACCCATATTCCAATATGTATTGCAATCCTGGTACCAATATTCCAATACGCATTGCGATATATTGCGATCCTGGTGCCCATATTCCAATACGCATTGCGATATATTGCGATCCTGGTACCCATATTCCAATATGTATTGCGATCCTGGTACCCATATTCTAATACGTATTGCGATATATTGCGATCCTGGTACCCATATTCCAATACGTATTGCGATATATTGGGAGCTTCAGTGTTTGACAGATTGTACATGCATGCTATTTTCTGCACACCAAAACCTTTAAAACAGATTTTATGGTTGTGATAACAGAAATATTGAATTTAGATTTGATTTTGCGGGATTGTATTTTCTTTTTCTATTTTTTTTTGCATGTCAAGTATGCTGTTTTAACAATTAATTGCAATGGAAAACTTTGGTGTGAATGGAAGTCTGTATAGATCTTTACTTAAAGGTCACATGCAACGTAAAACACAACTTTGCAGAATGCAACTTCTGTTTTATTGACACCTATGTGTCTGCCTGCCTGTATGCTAATGACAATATTCAATACACAACTTTGATCACTGACCACATGCAATTTGAACTTAACACCTATCAGGCTATACACGTATTGATTTATGGCCCGAGTTTGGTCTCTGTCACATTATGTAATTACACAGACAGGCAGGTGTGATACTTGTACACATGACATGTTATGATGTCTGTTGATTGCAAAATGTTATACATAAAAATGAGCATGTATTTACAAAACCCAACATCTCTATACACACACACACACACAATGAGCCGTGAGGGCATCTGCAAATGAACCAGCCATTACACTTGAGTGCACACCCACCCGCTCTGACTGGGTTCGGTATCCCGGGTGCTTTGTTTGAAGGGAAGTACACCCAAGTGGAGAGGGCTTATTTAAGTTGGATA